CCCGTACATGGATCTGCATTTCTTTCTTTCTTTTTCGCGTTGTCCCCAGCCTGGGGCGTGAGCTCCCATTGCCAGGTGTCCCTGGGGAGGCTGCAGGTGCTGAAAAGGAATTTATCCTTTCCTTCCCACCCCCCAATTATTCCTCAGTCTCTTTTAGCTTGCACAATGGTGATTCTGCCAGGTGACCGCCTGGATGCCATCTGGACTCACTTTCAGCCTTCTGAAGATGCTTTCTAGCTTTGAACGCTGTCCCCTGCCCTGCTGGATAGTCATTCTGGATTTCTTTCACATTTTCTCAAGACATTTTGATAGATAAGCACTTGTATACCGACTTCAAAATATACATTGTTAAACAGCTTCCTGACCGCCTGTACAAATTTGGGTACAAACAGATGAAAGAAATTTTTCTGATACTTGTATCAGAAGCATCAGCTCCTAGAAAGCACAGTAGGTGGGAGAATCTTAAACATCAAAATGGGCTTCACAGAACACCTGAAACTGGGGGAGTCTCGGGCAGGTTCATCCCCCCTCAGCTCTGCAGACAGGACAAAGCCACTCCAAAAGCTCCAGCCAAAGCAGCTTCAGGCTTGTGGCTTGTAGGGTGAGACTGTCCTAAAATCCCTCCTAGCTGCCAGCTCAGATCAGCAGAACGAGCAATTTCAGCCCCGCAGGAGCAGCTACAAGCCTGGTAGCAGCTATTACAGTCGCGGGCGATGCGTCTCATCCCAGAAAACCCTTGTGTTAGGTGCCTCAGATGAATCTGCCTCTTGTGTTCGCTTCTGCTTCTCCATCAGAGTATAACCAGATTGTATAATATAGTCAAAAAAACCAAAAGAAAACCAAAAGCAACCAAACAACAACAAAACCTTCTCTGAACCTGAAATCTAGTTTTAATTTTCAGCACAACCTCCCTAATTCTTGCAAGCTATTTCTGAGCTCGGGGCAGCAGCAACGGGCAGGTGCTCGCAGGGGCAATCCCACCCGCTGCTGCACCTTGGTTTGCAGAACCGGCTGAAACACGGCGTGCTGGCACGCAGCCCGAGGAGGCAGGACACCGGGCACGCTGCCACTCCGTAACATGGTGCCAGGTATGTTTCAAATGCCACTATTACCCTGGTATTGGTCTATCTTCACCCCAAATTTCATTCGCCAGCTGAAATCAGAGCCTTTTGCAGTGGAGAACACGAAAGGAGAGCTCTAGAGGAACGTTTGAGCTGCCTTATCAATGGATTTCCTTTAGCTCCCTGGATGATGCTTGCATTTTTTGCCATAAATACCCCAGCTTAAATTAATTCCTTAAAAAACCGCTTTTAAGTGTAGGAGAAAGGAATGAGAAGCAAACTGAAAAGAGATTTTTGGTAAGATAGAGAAGTGTTTTATTCCAGTGTCCTTCTAATCACAGAAAAAGCTTCTTGCAAAACTTACCAATTTTGACATCGTAAACAAAAAGCAGCTGAGCAACTGAGCAAGGAACTTGTAGTCATGGCGTTTCCAGGCACTTGATTGCATTTGTTCTGAATTCCTGGGTCTGACGTGCCCTGATACAACACGTCGGCTTTACTGATTTTTTTTTTAAGGTACATTCCCAGCGACCCTCTCTCAGGCACAGAAGAGAATCCTGTGATACCAGAACAAATATGCAGAAGTAAAACATTTTCTTGTCACATCAATACTGATCTTCCCAGTGTTTTCAAGTGTTACCATCCAACTTTTACGAAGGAAAAACATCGTTTTTCCACAGTACAGCTCCATAAGATGAAGGGAGCAGGCACAGTTGCTGCTGAAACAAGGATTAATCAGCGAAATCATTATTTATAAATTATCTGTGCAGACATTGATCTATAAGACTTTTTGCTTTGCCTGCCTGCAATCCGGTCTCCAAAGCGCAGCAGCCAGAGCATCCTCCGGTGCGGAGCAGGCGGCGGCGGGGCAGCTGACGGCAGGTGGCAACAGGGGACCAGAAATGGAAGCTGCACAGTCCTGCTCGGGTGAGCTTTGAGCAGGAACAGACACTGGGATTTCCTTCTGGTGCGCGCAGAGCCGGTGCTGCTGGCAGCGAGTGAGTGGTGACGCCTGGCTGCCCCCCGGGAAGGATGGGGCTGGGGGTGAGGTTCAGTCTCCGTCTCCGCGGGGCACATTTGGGGTACCCGCTGCCTCTACTCCGTGGGGACCCCCTACCCGGCAGCACCCCACGGTGAACCCCCCCTGCCGG